CACGCGGGGAAAGGGAGGTGCTGTCTGACCCTGTAGATTAGACACAGCTGCACACAGAAAGATGCTGTCCCCCACTCCTAAGGCAGATATAGCTACAAGCCCAGAAACACCCAGGACAGCTGGCAGTTAGTAGAAGCCAAGATGGAAAAGGAAAAACTTCCTCCTAGAGTCACTCCCAGGAGCTCTGGTGGTGCAGTGGTTAAAACATTCCAGGGCTAACCAAAAGCTCAGTAGTTTGAACCCACCAGCCGGCTGTGGGAGAAACATGAAGTGGTCTACCTCGGTAAAGACTGACAGTCTTGGAAACCCTGTGAAGCAGCTTTCTGTCCTATGGGGTGGTGATGGCAGTGCGTTTTCTCAAGAGGCAGGCCCTGAATTCGGTCTTCTAGCCTCCTAACCTGGGGCCAAAGAAAGGTCTGAGAAAAGAAATGTCTTGAAATCTACCCCCTTGGGGTATTTCTATTACAACAACCCTAGGAGACGAATAAGGAGTTCTGCTGGCCTAGTGGTTAAGGCATTTGGCTGTTAATCAAAAGGTCGGTGGTTTGAACCCACCAGCTGCTCTGCAGAAGAAAGATGAGGCAGTCTGCTTCTGTAAAGATTTACACCTTGGAAACCCTATGAGGGTTGCCGTGAGTCAGAATCAACTCCATGGCAGTTCCTCCCTCCTCACACCATTCCAGAACCCCAAAGATGGCCTTGGTCCTGGTGAATGCATCCCATGGTGATTCCCAGAGAGAAAGCCAGGCCTCCTGCACCAAGTGGCCTTTGCATGTAACAAGGTGTTCTCACAGTGTTTCACTTCTCTCCACTTCCCTGCTGGCAGGGTCACTGGGCCGAGGAGGTGTGGGCAGCCAGAGACAGTGTGTGACATGAGCAAGTGCCAGACAATGCACCTCTGACATGGTGTGGGGTCACCAACGACCAAAAGCCAGATGAATTATGGGAAGATATCAAGAACATTATCCATGAAGAAAGCAAGAGATCACTAAAAAGACAAGAAAAGAAGA